CGTATTACTTGAACACAAAAAGAAATATAATAATTTTATTTTATAACAAAATTTAAAAAATTCATAAAAAAATTTAAAAAATTCTTCTGTAATGCTTGTTATTTTTATTTGAATCATTAAATAAAATAATTAACTGTTTTTATTAAATTTAAGTAAAATCTTATTAAAAATAAGATATAAGTGAAAAATAAAAATTCTCTCATTTTAAATAAAAAGGAAGCGTAATTTCCTAAACTGCAAGTAATGCAGTTTAAAAAGAGAGCGTAGAGGGGCAATTTCGTTAATACCATGAAAAATGAGACCTTTTGTTAAAATGGGTTAACGACAAACCTAAAAGGGTGCAGGAATTAGTTACTACCCCCAATTCTTGTCACCATTATCCTCTGCAAGACCAGCGTGGACCCGACTCATACCTACGTATTTACCATTTTACCCTTACACTTCCCCCCTTTATAAACGAACCTTCCCTTCCCTTTCTCGGCCCCCAAACACACCAACCTCCTCTCCCGCAAAACTCGCCTCCACTTTTCTTCACCCTCCAATCAAGTATGGCCAAAGGAGGCAGCAAGCTAACAAAACTCAAATCAGTTCTTAAGAAACTAAACTCATTCAACAGCAAGTTGCAGCAAAGCCGCTCCACCGTAACCGCCTTAGGCGCCACCTCCGATGATCAGTACTCACCGGTCCACTCCGGCGATCTCCATCCCGTCTACGTCGGCAAGTCCCGCCGGCGCTACCTCGTCAGCTCCGATATCGTTGATCATCCGGTGTTCCGAGAGTTGGCTGGAAGGTCCGCCGACTCCAACGACGAAACTATCAATGTATCGTGCGAAGTTGTGCTGTTCGAGCATTTGCTCTGGATGCTCGAGAATGCCGATCCCTATACCGAGTCGCTGGAGGAACTCGTGGAGTTCTACGCCTGTTGACCTCACCTCCGGTAGGGACATGTGCATTAATTTGCATTGTACGCATTTTCAATTTTAGCCGGGAAAAGAAAGGAAGAGAAGATGATGGATCACACAGGAAAATATAAGTGTGAGGTTGATGATTAATTAAAGGGATGTAAATGGTGTTAATTAGGGTTAATAATGTGATTAGGCAAGAAATGTAAAAGATGGAGAGGTTAGTAGAGAAATTATTAGAAGTCTTGTTGTGATAACGAGCATTCAAGGGAAATTCAGACTGGCTACTCTCTCGGCCGGGCGACAATATTGCCGTTTGTAGTAAATTTGTACTTTCAGTTCATCCATTTTCATATAAATACTTATTTACTTGTAGAAACCTTTTTACTCTTTTAAACTTCTCTGTTTCTTGTATGCCCTGCGCTGGTGAGAAAACCCAAAAAGCTTTATTATATACAAAGATTTCTTTTTACAAAATAAAAAAGGAGGTTCTGATTTGATTTAGTAATAAATTAGAGAGATATATTTTGATTTTGACAAGGTACATAATGGATTGCAGAGAGGGTGATAAACATAAACAGAAAGAAAGATTGCAGCAAATGGGAGGTGTGGGTCCACCATCTTTTATGTTTGTCACGAAGATCTTTTCCAAGTGAAGTACAGTTTGTAAAGTTGATCCAATCCCCCAACTTTTTACATTTTACCAATGTAATTAATTATTTCTGCCATTTCCATTGAGCATGAGTTTCAAACTCAATGGATTTTTTCTAAACCCCAACTTTTTCATTTTAGTACCTGTAAATCACTTCAAGGCTTGTTTAAATTTTAGCTGGGATTAAAAAAATTAGATTGAATTGAATTAAATATTGTTTCCAAATCTAGAGGATAAAAAATCTGGGTTCAAACTTGGATTGCTTTTATGTTTTATCTGATTCCTTATCTACATTGAAAATAAAAATAAAAATCTTAATTATGAACTGATATTTAATAAAATATTAATTCATTAGTAACGTATTTGATGGGTAATTACAATTTACAATTTACAATTTTAACTTTATCAATTATTTTCCGTTAAATATAATAATTTGTTAGTGAAAAAAAAAATGGTTCAATTAAGTTTAGACTAAACTGAAAATTAAAAAAAAAAAAAAAAACTAAATAGATATAGACTGAAACATAACAAAACTGATTTTTAATCTGATTTTCGATTCAATCCATTATCAAATGAAAACTTAATAATTTATAGGGTTCCATAACTTAGCAAGTTTCCCTAGAACTATGTTAACCCTTCTGCTACAACTGTAACTTTCTCCGTAACAAATTGAAGTTCTATTCTTTTTTTTTTTCCAACTCAATATACTTTTTATTGTTGTCAAAGAAAAACAAAAAGTCAAAACAGAATATTAAAAGATGGTAAATTTAAAGTTGTGACATTTTATTAGTGAACTACTTTTTTTTTTTTTTTTAGTATAAAGCACCTAAGACGAACTCAATTCAAACCTGAAATACAAAGAATATATGA